GATTTCAGAAGTTCTGGATGTTTAATTACAATAACATGAAATCAATATGTAGCTGGTATGATGCTGATCATGGTTAGCCATTTATAAGCAATAAAATGTATTTTGAAATGTGATATTGGAATTTGGTAGCTTTGATGAGAAACTAACGGGATTGCACTTGGGAGTTATCTACAGATGGATCCAAGGCTAAACCTCTCTTGCTTGAAACCTATAAAATGTCTTTAAACAGTGCATGCACAAAACATTAAAGAATTCACTTAAAAGGAACCGCTTCTGATCTAAATCAAGCCTTTAATTTATTTCAATGTGAAGCATTTGAATGAATATTCTAAACACAAACCATCCAAACAATTATATTTCAACTAGTAAAATTGTTTTGGTATGAGCCTCAGCTCCTCTGCTTGCAAACCTGTTGGTCATTTTCATATTACTCTTTTCCCAGCATCCCAAGTATAAAAAGTTGAACCCTACCTAAACTAATTAAAATTGAACTGATAGTTAACTCTATCAGCTTGACTTACTAAGATGTTGCTGATAACTAACCCAACTTTAACTTACTAAGATGTTGCTGATAACTAACCCCGCTTTAACTTACTAAGATGTTGCTGATAACAAAACCACTTTAATTTACTAAGATGTTGCTGATAACTAACCCCGCTTTAACTTACTAAGATGTTGCTGATAACTAACCCAACTTTAACTTACTAAGATGTTGATGATAACTAACCCCACTTTAACTTACTAAGATTTTGCTGATAACTAACCCCACTTTAACTTACTAGTCACAAACTGATTGTTTTGGTCTCAACCACCAGGTGACTGTTGGATTCAGTCACAAAATGATTGTTTTGGTCTCAGCCATCATGTGACTGTTTGATTCAGTCACAAACTGCTTGTTTTGGTCTCAGCCACCAGGTGACTGTTGGTTTCAGTCACAAACTGATGGTTTTTATCATGGCCACCAGGTGACTGTTGGATTCAGTCACAAAATGATTGTTTTGGTCTCAGCCATCATGTGACTGTTTGATTCAGTCACAAACTGCTTGTTTTGGTCTCAGCCACCAGGTGACTGTTGGATTCAGTCACAAAATGATTGTTTTGGTCTCAGCCATCATGTGACTGTTTGATTCAGTCACAAACTGCTTGTTTTGGTCTCAGCCACCAGGTGACTGTTGGTTTCAGTCACAAACTGATTGTTTTGGTCTCAGCTATCAGGTGACTTGGTTTCAGTCACAAACTGATGGTTTTTATCATGGCCACCAGGTGACTGTTGGATTGAGTCACAAACTGATTGTTTTGGTCTCAGCTATCAGGTGACTTGGTTTCAGTCACAAACTGATGGTTTTTATCATGGCCACCAGGTGACTGTTGGATTGAGTCACAAACTGATTGTTTTGGTCTCAGCCATCAGGTGACTGTTGGTCATTTTCATATTACTCTTTTCCCAGCATCCCAAGTATAAAAAGTTGAACCCTACCTGAACTAATTAAAATTGAACTGATAGTTAACTCTATCAGCTTGACTTACTAAGATGTTGCTGATAACTAACCCAACTTTAACTTACAAAGATGTTGCTGATAACTAACCCACTTTAACTTACAAAGATGTTGCTGATAACTAACCCACTTTATCTTACTAAGATGTTGCTGATAACTAACCCAACTTTAACTTACTAAGATGTTGCTGATAACTAACCCACTTTATCTTACTAAGATGTTGCTGATAACTAACCCAACTTATTGTTTTGGTCTCAGCCATCAGGTGACTGTTGGTCATTTTCATATTACTCTTTTCCAAGCATCCCAAGTATAAAAAGTTGACCCCTACCTAAACTAATTAAAATTGAACTGATAGTTAACTCTATCAGCTCGACTTACTAAGATGTTGCTGATAACTAACCCCACTTTAACTTACTAACCCCACTTTAACTTACGAAGATGTTGCTGATAACTAACCCCACTTTAACTTACTAAGATGGTGCTGATAACTAATTATAAATCCCCACTTTAACTTACTAAAATGTCGCCGATATCTAACCTCATTTTTACTAAGATGTTACTGACATCTAACCCCATCTTTACTAAGATGTTACTGACATCTAACCCAATCTTAACTAAGATATCGCTGATATCTTACCCCATCTAAACTAAGATGTTAATGATATCTAACCCCATCTTTACTAAGATGTCACTGATATCTAACCCAATCTTTACTAAGATGTCACCGATATCTTACCTCATCTTTACTAAGATATCACTGATATCTAACCCCTTCTTTTCTAAGATGTTACTGATATCTAACCCCATCTTTACAAAGATGTTACTGATATCTAACCCCACCTTTACTAAGATGTCGCTGAAATCTAACCCCATCTTTAACTTACTAAGAAGTTGCTGATGTCTAACCCCATCTTTACTAAGATGTCGCTGATATCTAACCCCATCTTTCCTAAGAAGTCACTGATATCTAACCCAATCTTTACAAAGATGTCGCTGATATCTTACCCCATCTTTACTAAGATGATCCTGATAACTAACCCCTCACTGATATCTAAACCCATCTTTACTAAGATGTCGCTGATATCTAACCCCATCTTTCCTAAGAAGTCACTGATATCTAACCCAATCTTTACTTAGATGTATAGGACATCAAACCCCATCTTTACTAAGATGTCGCTGATATCTAACCCAATCTTTACTAAGATGTCGCTGATATCTAACCCCATCTTTACTAAGATGTCACTGATATCTAACCCAATCTTTACAAAGATGTCGCTGATATCTTACCCAATCTTTACTAAGATGATGCTGATAACTAACCCCTCACTGATATCTAACCCCATCTTTCCTAAGAAGTCACTGATATCTAACCCAATCTTTACTAAGATGTCGCTGATATCTTACCCAATCTTTACTAATATGTCGCTAATATCTTACCCAATCTTTACTAATATGTCGCTGATATCTTACCCCATCTTTACTAAGATGTCACTGATATCTAACCAAATCTTTACTAAGATGTCGCTGATATCTTACCCCATCTTTACTAAGATGTCGCTGATATCTAACCCCATCTTTACTAATATGTCACTGATATCTAACCCAATATTTACTAATATGTTGCTGATATCTTACCCAATCTTTACTAAGATGTCGCTAATATCTTACCCAATCTTTACTAATATGTCGCTGATATCTTACCCAATCTTTACTAATATGACGCTGATATCTTACCCCATCTTTACTAAGATGTCACTGATATCTAACCAAATCTTTACTAAGATGTCACTGATATCTTACCCCATCTTTACTAAGATGTCGCTAATATCTTACCCAATCTTTACTAATATGTCGCTGATATCTTACCCCATCTTTACTAAGATGTCACTGATATCTAACCAAATCTTTACTAAGATGTCGCTGATATCTTACCCAATCTTTACTAATATGTCACTGATATCTAACCCCATCTTCCCTAAGATGTCGCTGATATCTGACCCCATATTTACTAAGATGTCACTGATATCTTACCCCATCTTTACTAAGATGTCACTGATATCTTACCCCATCTTTACTCAGATATCGCTAATATCTTACCCCATCTTTACAAAGATGTCGCTGATATCTAACCCCATCTTTACAAAGATGTCGCTGATATCTTACCCCATCTTTACTAAGATGATGCTGATAACTAACCCCTCACTGATATCTAACCCCATCTTTCCTAAGAAGTCACTGATATCTTACCCCATCTTTTCTAAGAAGTCACTGATATCTAACCCAATCTTTACTAAGATGTCGCTAATATCTTACCCAATCTTGACTAACATGTCGCTGATATCTTACCCCATCTTGACTAACATGTCACTGATATCTTACCCAATCTTTACTAAGATGTCACTGATATCTAACCCAATCTTTACTAAGATGTCGCTAATATCTTACCCAATCTTTACTAAGATGTTACTGATATCTTACCCCATCTTTACTAAGATGATGCTGATAACTAACCCCTCGCTGATATCTAACCCCATCTTTCCTAAGATGTCCCTGATATCTAACCCAATCTTTCCTAAGAAGTCACTGATATCTAACCCAATCTTTACCAAGATGTTACAGATATCTAACCCCATCTTTACTAAGATGTTACTGATATCTTACCCCATCTTTACTAAGATGTCGCTGATATCTAACCCAATCTTTACTAAGATTTCACTGATATCTAACCCAATCTTTACTAAGATGTCGCTGATATCTAACCCAATCTTTACTAAGATGTCGCTGATATCTAACCCAATCTTTACTAAGATGACGCTAATATCTTACCCAATCTTGACTAACATGTCGCTGATATCTTACCCCATCTTTACTTAGACGTCACTGATATCTAACCTCATCTTTCCTAAGAAGTCACTAATATCTAACCTCATCTTTCCTAAGAAGTCACTAATATCTAACCAAATATTTACTAAGATGTCGCTGATATCTTACCCCATCTTTTCTAAGAAGTCACTGATATCCAACCCAATCTTTACTAAGATGTCGCTGATATCTAACCCAATCTTTACTAAGATGTCGCTGATATCTTACCCAATCTTTACTAAGATGTTACTGATATCTTACCCCATCTTTACTAAGATGTCGCTGATATCTTACCCAATCTTTACTAAGATGTTGCAGATATCTAACCCCATCTTTCCTAAGATGTCACTGATATCTAACCCAATCTTTCCTAAGAAGTCACTGATATCTAACCCCATCTAAACTAAGATGTTGCTGATATCTTACCCAATCTTTACTAAGATGTCGCCGATTTTAACCCCATCTTCACTAAGATGTCTCTAACATCAAACCCCATCTTTACTAAGGTGTCACCGATATTTATCCCTGTCTATCCTAGTTGTTTCCAATGCCTCCCCTAATTTAGCTATCCTCTGTAACTGTAAGGTGGGTGGATGTGAGAGTAAATGTGTGTATTCTATCCAGTATCATCCTGTTTACCTTGCATCTGCCTCACTGTAGAATTCCCTGGCTACAATGTCTTCAAACAACTCCCCTCCTGTTACCCTGAAACACAATCAATGTCAAATATAGTCACCACAACATACACAACATATTATCAAGTGGAGTTTTCAAACCGATAATATTTTACCCTTATATATTTTTTTAAATATAATGTAATGCCCTGGTTTTTAGTTGGTTATGTGGTAGCTATCTCAACAACATGACCAGGATGACTGGTTTGAAGCTTTTGCATCCTCCTGAGGACTAGCTCAAGTGTCATGACTTATGTTGCTGACACTACACCATCAGACAATGACATGACAGCAGACCTGGGACTCACCCATCAGACGATATTGTTGGTCTCAACAGAAACACTTCTGACACAGAAGCAAAATCTAATTTACTTGGTTCACCAGACAACCTGACACTTTTTCATTTCTATCAGAACTTTACATTTATTTACCGAATTCCCAAAGGTAGGCACCGCTTTGCCTGCCTCACTACAGCAGACAGATCAATGAATAGATCCATCTAACACTTTTACAATTAAGAAAGGGGAGTGTAGACCTAACATCTTTGCAATAGGATTAATTCCAATTCAGTGGAAGTGATCCAGGGGTGGATACCGAATGGTATTCATAGTTCTCATGGTTGCAGGTCAACTCAAAAACAAAGGATGGGCAACAACACCACTGGATCCAGTTAAATTATATATCCTTGTCTCTATCCACAGTACAAACATGTAGTTGTGCTCTGAAGACAGCCACCTTTAGGCCGAAACATGTCAGCAGTGTGGATAGAGTAAAGAAAATATAATTTTAAACAGGGTCCATTGGTGTTGTTTTTCATCCTTTCCATTTGAGTTCACCTGCAATCATGAGGAGTTGTTCGGACAAACAGCTTCAGGATTCGTTCAACAAAGGGCCATTACTTCATAAAAAGGGTCAGAATGAAAAAATAATATCTGGATGCAACGCTTCAGGTAGTAGTTATCATATCTGGAAAGCTTCATTGAAATTGGTCCATTACTTTAGAAGGAGTTGTCTGGACAAACTTTTTCTACGGACAGACAGACATGCTGATTCCAGTATCCCCCATCAAACTTGGTTGCAGAGGTATCCACCAATCAATAGAGATATAACCACAGTGTCACTCCACCAATCAATAGAGATATAACCACAGTGTCACTCCACCAATCATTAGAGATATAACCACAGTGTCACTCCACCAATCATTAGATATATAACCACAGTGTCACTCCACCAATCATTAGAGATATAACTACAGTGTCACTCCACCAATCATTAGATATATAACCACAGTGTCACTCCACCAATCATTAGAGATATAACTACAGTGTCACTCCACCAATCATTAGAGATATAACCACAGTGTCACTCCACCAATCAATAGAGATATAACTACAGTGTCACTCCACCAATCATTAGAGATATAACCACAGTGTCACTCCACCAATCATTAGAGATATAACTACAGTGTCACTCCACCAATCATTAGAGATATAACCACAGTGTCACTCCACCAATCATTAGAGATATAACTACAGTGTCACTCCACCAATCATTAGAGATATAACTACAGTGTCACTCCACCAATCATTAGAGATATAACCACAGTGTCACTCCACCAATCATTAGAGATATAACTACAGTGTCACTCCACCAATCATTAGAGATATAACTACAGTGTCACTCCACCAATCATTAGAGATATAACTACAGTGTCACTCCACCAATCATTAGAGATATAACTACAGTGTCACTCCACCAATCATTAGAGATATAACTACAGTGTCACTCCACCAATCATTAGAGATATAACTACAGTGTCACTCCACCAATCATTAGAGATATAACTACAGTGTCACTCCACCAATCATTAGAGATATAACTACAGTGTCACTCCACCAATCATTAGAGATATAACTACAGTGTCACTCCACCAATCATTAGAGATATAACTACAGTGTCACTCCACCAATCATTAGAGATATAACTACAGTGTCACTCCACCAATCATTAGAGATATAACTACAGTGTCACTCCACCAATCATTAGAGATATAACTACAGTGTCACTCCACCAATCATTAGAGATATAACTACAGTGTCACTCCACCAATCATTAGAGATATAACTACAGTGTCACTCCACCAATCATTAGAGATATAACTACAGTGTCACTCCACCAATCATTAGAGATATAACTACAGTGTCACTCCACCAATCATTAGAGATATAACTACAGTGTCACTCCACCAATCATTAGAGATATAACTACAGTGTCACTCCACCAATCATTAGAGATATAACTACAGTGTCACTCCACCAATCATTAGAGATATAACTACAGTGTCACTCCACCAATCATTAGAGATATAACTACAGTGTCACTCCACCAATCATTAGAGATATAACTACAGTGTCACTCCACCAATCATTAGAGATATAACTACAGTGTCACTCCACCAATCATTAGAGATATAACTACAGTGTCACTCCACCAATCATTAGAGATATAACTACAGTGTCACTCCACCAATCATTAGAGATATAACTACAGTGTCACTCCACCAATCATTAGAGATATAACTACAGTGTCACTCCACCAATCATTAGAGATATAACTACAGTGTCACTCCACCAATCATTAGAGATATAACTACAGTGTCACTCCACCAATCATTAGAGATATAACTACAGTGTCACTCCACCAATCATTAGAGATATAACTACAGTGTCACTCCACCAATCATTAGAGATATAACTACAGTGTCACTCCACCAATCATTAGAGATATAACTACAGTGTCACTCCACCAATCATTAGAGATATAACTACAGTGTCACTCCACCAATCATTAGAGATATAACTACAGTGTCACTCCACCAATCATTAGAGATATAACTACAGTGTCACTCCACCAATCATTAGAGATATAACTACAGTGTCACTCCACCAATCATTAGAGATATAACTACAGTGTCACTCCACCAATCATTAGAGATATAACTACAGTGTCACTCCACCAATCATTAGAGATATAACTACAGTGTCACTCCACCAATCATTAGAGATATAACCAGTGTCACTCCACCAATCATTAGAGATATAACCAGTGTCACTCCACCAATCATTAAATATATAACCACAGTGTCACTCCACCAATCATTAGAAATATAACCAGTGTCACTCCACCAATCAATAGAGATATAACCAGTGTCACGCCACCAATCAATAGAGATATAACCAGTGTTACTCCACCAATCAATAGAGATATAACCAGTGTCACTCCACCAATTAATAGAGATATAACTATAGTGTCACTCCACCAATCAATAGAGATATAACCAGTGTCACGCCACCAATCAATAGAGATATAACCAGTGTCACGCAACCAATCAATAGAGATATAACCAGTGTTACTCCACAAATCAATAGAGATATAACCAGTGTCACGCAACCAATCAATAGAGATATAACCAGTGTTACTCCACAAATCAATAGAGATATAACCAGTGTCGCTCCACCAATCAATAGATATAACCAGTGTCACTCCACTAATCATTAGAGATATAACTACAGTGTCACTCTACCAATCATTAGTGGTATAACTACAGTGGCACTCCACCAATCATTAGAGATGTAACCACAGTGTCACTCCACCAGTCATAACATTTAGACTTGTAACTACATTGACAGACTTTAACATGGCTGACTGCTCCTCTCGTCTGTGTGTTGTGGAGCAGATGAGAGTGATGTATATGCATCTGACAGCAATTTCTTAATCAGTCGAGTGTTACACAAACGTTACCATCAATCTATCACAGATCTGAAGTGTAACCTACCCTTATTTGTCAATGTATTTCTTATTCAATGTATTACCTTCTTACCGACCTATTTGACCGAAGCAAGTCAGTACTAGGTTATCATCAATGTATATCAAATCGTTCAAAACTGCATTTCAACATTTAAAGTGCATTGTTGTACTCTTATGCAAAGTAAACTTTCTGTGTGAATGTTCTGTAATTTTATGTTAATGGGTTTCCTTTGACAGTATAGTCATGACGCCAACAACAAAATCCTGTTGCTGGTACCCTGGCAAGAAGTCGACAACTGTAACATGCAATTGACCTTGATATTAGAAAATCAATAGTCTCATCAATCCTAAATAAAAACCTTGACCTTGTTAATGTTGTATTCAACAATGAAGCATGTTATCTCTAACAAACAGCATGACAGAAGTAGGAAATGGGAGTTTTTAATTAACCCACTAACGCACAAACACATACTGTATCAAACACAACAAAGAGAAATGGAAGTTTTTAACTAACCCAGTAGCGCACAAATATATACCATATCAAACACAAAGAGAAATGGAGAGTTTTAATTAATATAACCCACTAACGCACAAATACATATCGTATCAAACACAATGATAAATATGTCATTGAAAATCCGTAACAGAAAGAAAAAAATCAAGAAACATACACAACAATTTTGTGCATGTCTATAATATTTTCTCAAAATTCTTGCCTCTATATCTATTAAACTTTTATCTCTGAAATTTTGATATGCCTTTAAATTTAACAACTTAACTCATTTATTTGATTTAAACATCTTGTTATGAAAACTCCATGTAAGTAAAGGAAAAGTAAAAATGTGCAAACAAGTGCATTAAATATTTGAATGAACATATTTTTCACCTGTAAATCAATTAAAACCGTTTACATATGATATTAAGTTCACTTTCTGAAAGACAATACGGTTGAATGTGATTGATATGTCTGTTGTTATAGAATGTGGGTATGTCTGTACCGGATTGTGAAAGTAAAGGATACAGAATACGGAAGAAGAGACCCAAAATGTAGAAGAAGAAACAGAAGGTGGAAGTAGTTTTTAAAGAATGTGGACTGAAAGGTTCACAAAAGGTTAAAGGACACAGTCAGATAGGTTCAAGATGTTGCCATGTGGTCTAGGTATGATTGTAAATTAACATTGGAGACTTGTACACCCACAAGACTGCTGTGATTACAATACAAACAAAGACAGGACAGAACAAATAAAACCCTTCAATATATAGGAGGATGGTGAGCAGGCTACCAGGATGGCACAAGATCAATAGCTCATGTTTCTACTATGTACAGCTATTTAGCCACTATTCGCCAACACTAAAACCTACACACAGAAGTTTATATAATTATTGGTCTATGACAATAGACGTAACAAAAGGCCTAGAATACAGCAAACATATAAGCATACAAAAACAGATCATTGCATGTAGTCACTGAAATGTTTGAACAAGATTATTTTGCTTTTGTGACATGAACACCTAATACGTTTTCACTATGCTCCTGTTTGATTCCCAAGCATATATATTATCCAGCAGCCTGCAGAGAGCTGTCCATTTACACCACAATCTGTCAGGACCTCCATCTAATGAAAGGTGGGCGGGGTTCAACATAGGGAGAGGCACATGTCAGTGCATTCCGGGGTGGAAACATTCAGCTTAATTCTGGTTAATTGACAATTGCAAGCACACAGCTAATGAGGCAATAAACTAACTAGAGCCGTCAGTGCCTGTCCTAGTACTTCATCACAGATCTGTGAACCTACACTGCACAAAACCCGTTTACATCCCCATCTTAGTGAGTAGTGAGGCAGCAGTTCTCAATAAGGACAGAGCTGGTTGTCTTCAAACTTATAAACACTGAAAAAACTCGAAATAACTGTTGATCCTTAAGCTACAATTGTTCCTCTTGTTATCCAGCCAGACCAGGTGATGGTTGATAATCTAGCTAAGACATGGCTTACACTCAACAAAATCCTGTGGTCACTTTAAATTTTAATGAACAAACATAATACATGACACTAGATCTAGACCACCTCAAAATTAGTCTTCACAAAAGTACATACAACACTTCTATTGGCTGAAGTCTGTATAACATGCCATACTAAACGGGACATGAACATGGTACATATGTATATGGTAATGTGACTGGCCTATTGTGTAACTATATTAACTCCTGTTGGTACATCAGGTGACAGAATCACTTCCAATCAACAATCTCTTACTTCTGTTAAATAGACATTATATACATTTTGTTTGACTTAGAAAGAATTTTTCAGACTGTTGCCAAATAGTTAATCATTATGAACAAAGAAATTCTTCTGATACAGAATATCTAATTTGAAGAAATCAATAATTCAATCTGTTGTAGACAGTTACTTGTAATACTGAAATTTCATATTCATAGGTAGTAGGGTAAAGCAATCAAGTAGAAGGAAATTGTATAGCTTATGGCGTCTATCTTATCTGAAATTAAATTGTTCATCTTCCTGAATTGATCTCAAATTTTAGAATATGATATAGCTTATACAATAAACTGTAATCCCCACATCATACAACTGATATAACACATAACTAGGATATACCGATATATGATGCGTACTCATGATTTTTTTTCTCACCTCTATATATGAGATGTGCATTCTCCAGATCAAAATGTATAAACAAAATTGGTACAGCCAACCCTGATGAAGGTGCTACTTTTTTGGGATCTACATTTTTTTCTTAATTCTGACTACAAATTGCTTAAAAGGGAAAATGCCCAGCATTGTATTGGCCGACATTTGGAAATGTAAAGTCAATTCAGTGTGATATGATGTCATGACATTGTCATTTTGGTCAGCGAAAAAATAACTGCCACCAAAATACAGTTGGCATCTGACATCTTTTCACAGAAATAAAACAGTATAGAAACAAATTTGCTGTGAAGATTTTTCAAACCTTTTTTAAGTTTACCATCAATATAACATACTTTAAAATGTCATTGTTGATTTTTATCAAGTTCTGGAATTAGACATGGCAGAAAATAGTCAATCATTATGCAGAGATGGTGATATGTAAATCTACTCTCGGCAAGCCATGATCCTGAACCAAATACATCCGCAGGCAAACTTTGTTTGTATCCCATCCCTACATACGAGAGACTCCATTGGTAATGTCATTTATATCTCAGTGAATCCTTAGTGTTGAAATCATTATTTGTATCTTTATTTTTCCTCAACTAGATTGCACATTATTCAAAGACACTTTATTTGAAATATAAATAAATCACTCTGATACTTACAAGTCAAACACAAGATAGTGGAACCCCTCATCCTGTATACTATCATGTAATCGTACTGAAACAAATACAAACACCATTAATAAAACAATGCATCAATTCATTGACATATCATAATTATATTATTTTATTTTAAATTTTTAAAATGGTGTGCTTTATTTTTTCCATCCTAAATTTGTCAGCAATAAGAAGCACCAACTGTCTGAAGCTTTAAACCTCATGGACATTTGCCACCGAGCCGAAAAATTCTTACTGTACTGATTTATGAAATAATAATCGGGGATTAAAATATTAACTCTAAATGAAAACAAGATAAAAAGATGCCCACAGGCCTAAACGGTTACACAAGTAGTATTCCAGTTAATAACCCATGATGTAAGCTTTGTCATGAACCATCAATTAATCATCCCTATTAAGATTCAGTTATATAGGCCAAATAAAACATAAGTTTAAGTTTGAAATCAGTAATAAAAATCATGGCCCTGGCTCATAATGGATTTCTAATTGGCCCAAAAAATAACAACAATTTGTCAGGACCATCAGTAAATCGACTCTTCAAAGTTAAACAGTTTTTCAAAATAGTAACCATATAAGATTCTGATCAACCCGCAAATAAATACCAACACCTCTTCAGGACAATGTGGGTAATATTCCCAACAGTATCAATGAAATCCCTTTGGCGCAGGTAACCTAAAAACAACTAAGAGAGTAATAAAGATTCTACGTTAAGGAAGAGATCTGAAGTATTTCTATATGAGCCGTTCACAGGACTGTTATATGTACATTCATGTCCATGGGGAAGTGTTCATTACCTTGACTTGTTTACCAACTACTTCAACAAATGTGCCAGTGTTTATTAAATATGATGCAAAGGGTTAGTTTATTAACATATAAATACAGACATTCCTCAAGTCAGATCGGTCAACTCTGTAAACAAATAACACCTACACTCAGCATTCTGTTTACCTCTACCAAGGTGCAAGGCTATATAGCAATGTTCTGCTCACCTTCACTAAGATGTGGGCCTAACAATATTCTATTCAGCTTCACAAGGTGCGAGACCTGCAATATCCTGTTCACCTTTAAAATTTACCAATGTTTGGAGCTAGAAATATTCTGTTTACGTTCCACAAGGTTTCAGGCTAGCAATCGTTAAGGTTTGGGATAAGTAATGCTCTGTTTACCTTCCACAAGGTTTCAGGCTAGCAATCGTTAAGGTTTAGGATAAGTAATGCTCTGTTCACCTTCACCAAGGTGTGAGACTTGCAATATCTTTTTTACCTTCAACAAGGATTGGAGCTAGCATTAATTAAGGTATGGGGCTAGTAGTATTCTGTTCACTTCACTAAGGTGTGAGGCTTACAAAATTCTGTTTACCTCCATTAAGGTTTGGGGCTAGCAATATCCTGTTCTCCTTTACCAAGGTGTGGGGCTAGCAATATTCTAGTTATCCTTTACCAAGGTGTGAGGCTAGCAATATTCTAGTTACCTTCATGATGGTGTGGAGCGCTAGACATTTTATGTTCACCTTCATGAGAGTGTGGGGCTTATTCACCTTCATTAAGGTGTGGAGTTAGCAATAGTCTGTTCACCTTCACCAAGGTGTGGGGCTAGCAATGTTGTGTTCACCTTCACCAAGGTGTGGGGCTAGCAATGTTGTGTTCACCTTCACCAATGTGTGTGGCTAGCAATGTTGTGTTCACCTTCACCAATGTGTGGGGCTAGCAATGTTGTGTTCACCTTTACTTAGGTGTGGGGCTAGCAATGTTGTGTTCACCTTCGCCAAGGTGTGGGGCTAGCAATGTTGTGTTCAGCTTCACCAATGTGTGGGGCTAGCAATATTCTGTTCACCTTCACTAAGGTTTCGGGCTAGCAATGTGTTGTGTTCAGCTTTTCTAAGGTTTGGGGCTAGCAATATTCTGTTCACCTTCATCAAGGTGTTTCTTTACATACCTTTGTTATATATTACACTATAGGTCTTGTGTCTCATACAGTTAGCTTTCATCCTATATTACACTAGTTACTGATGTATCCTACTGAGTCAACTTTGTTTCATTTTGCACTGCTTATCTGATGTATCCTACAGTCAGCCTTGTTCTATATTACACTAGTGATCTGCTGTCCCATATAGCTTTATACATCCAACAGACATAACCACCCGTGTTATACTTTCTAGAATATTACAGGTAATATACAGCAGGGATTATCCTTGTCTATCAGTATTGTTAGTATATAATCCCTCACGGACATAACAAAGTAATTACACACTGACAGATCCTGTAGTTTACATAAACTGTATGAAACCAGACAGGATTCAGGTCTGTGCAGGATGTTAGAATGATAATGATAAGGCAGGCTAATTAGACCTACAGTGTAATCTTTATACCTGTGGATAGGATTTCTGGATGAGTAATATTAATATATATCCCAATTAATCCTTTGGTCAATTCGGATATTTGACCACTCAATGACCATAAGGTACAGCCATGGAACAGGTCAATGATTATTCTTTTGGCCAGAGTCTGACATCAGTGAAAGTGAACAATTATGCAAATGAAATTACTGTGCGATATTGACAGCCAGCTTGACTTATACTACAGTAAGGATGATACACGAGGTGGTCCACTGATGTTTCTACTTTCTGCCAGAAGCATGACTTCTATAAATATAAACAATTATTGAAATATAAAATATTATTTCTTTAATAAATTACCACTATCTATAAACAAGTAAGACCCGTTATCCTAGAGAAGTGCATGCCTGATAAATCTATAATGCCACCTAGTCTAGCCTTCCAGGTACCAAAGGTAATAATGTAGTTCCCTATTGATTCCTGCTTGATTGCTTCTGGAAAATTAGATCATAAAACACAAGCAGATATCTTGTTTTTACACCTGGTATAGGCGACATCAAACCAGACGAGTTGGACACATGAAATCTGTCCTTCCCTGGCTTTGGTGGCAGTAGTAATCTGTCCACTGAGCAAGGTTACAGAGTAAATGTAGCATGGAAACTGTAAATTTGACATAGGTATAAAATATATTGATGTTAAAAGCAATTTCATAGTACCCCTTTCCTAAACAAACTTTATTATAATATAGCTGACAAAATGAAAGCAAGAAAAAATATTGGCTAATATATATCTGGATGTTTATATAATGTTAGTACTGGAATATCAACTGGAATATTGATATACATACCTATATTTGGGTGTTTTACAATAATTGATATACATACCTATATTTGGGTGTTTTACAATAACATTGATATTCATACCTATATTTGGGTGTTTTACAATAACATTTATATACATTCCTATATTTGGGTGTTTTACAATAACATTTATATACATTCCTATATTTGGGTGTTTTACAATAACATTTATATACATTCCTATATTTGGGTGTTTTACAATAACATTGATATACATACCTATATTTAGGTGTTTTACAATAACATATTGGTTTACATACCTATATTTGGGGGTTTTACAATAATTGATATACATACCTATTTTTGGTTGTTTTACAATAACATTGGTATACATGTACATACTTCTATTTGGATGTTTTACAATAATTGATATACATACCTATTTTTGGTTGTTTTTCAATAACATTGGTATACATGTACATACTTCTATTTGGGTGTTTTACAATAACATTGATATTCATACCTATATTTGGGTGTTTTACAATAATTGATATACATACCTATTTTTGGTTGTTTTTCAATAACATTGGTATACATGTACATACTTCTATTTGGATGTTTTACAATAATTGATATACATACCTATTTTTGGTTGTTTTACAATAACATTGGTATACATGTACATACTTCTATTTGGATGTTTTACAATAATTGATATACATACCTATATTTGGGTGTTTTACAATAACCTGATATACTTACCTATATTTGGGTGTTTTACAATAATTGATATACATACCTATATTTGGATGTTTTACAATAACATTAATATACATACCTATATTTGGGTGCTTTACAATAACATTAATATACTTACCTATATTTGTATGTTTTAATAGCCTACATATTCTAGCTTCTCTTTCAAGCTTTTGATGATCTGAAAAACAAAAAGAAACATTTGAAATAATTTTTTATCTAAATTATCTTCAGCAAGACTGACAAATAGATAAAATAATTTGCTAGAGTTGTCATCATCACTGCTCTAGCTACTTATTCTGCTATCTAAATCAAGCAGACAGTCTACAGTGACAGTCTGACATTTTTCTTCCACATAATAAATAATTAATAATTCATTACAGCTTGTCAATTATCTGATTTTTCACAGAAAGGACTGAAGATTTACAGCAAAGCGTAATTTCTGCGAGACAGATCCTAACAACCTGTCCTGGCGTTGATCTACTGTTCCACCTGTATTAGATCCTAATTTCTGTGCGACAGATCGTTACAACCTTTCCTGGCGTTGATCTCCTGTTCCGCCTGTTTTAGATCCTAGTTTCTGAGAGACAGATCGTTACAACCTGTCCTTGCGTTGATATACTGTTCCACCTGTATTAGATCCTAATTTCTGCAAGACAGATCGTTACAGCCTGTCCTGGAGATGATCTACTGTTCCACCTGTATTAGATCCTAATTTCTGTGCGACAGATCGTTACAACCTGTCCTGACTTTGATCTACTGTTTCACCTGTTTTAGATCCTAGTTTCTGAGAGACAGATCGTTACGCCCTGTCCTGGCGTTGCTCTACTGTTCCACCTGTATTAGATCCTAATTTCTGCAAGACAGATCGTTACACCCTGTCCTGGCGTTGCTCTACTGTTCCACCTGTATTAGATCCTAATTTCTGTGAGACAGATCGTTACAACCTTTCCTGGCGTTGATCTGCTGTTCCACCTGTTTTAGACCCTAATTTCTGCAACACAGATCGTTCCAACCTGTCCTGGCGTTTATCTACTGTTCCACCTGGTTTAGATCCTAATTTCTGTGCGACAGATCGTTACAACCTGTCCTTGCGTTGATATACTGTTCCACCTGTATTAGATCCTAATTTCTGCAAGACAGATCGTTACAACCTTTCCTGGCGTTGATCTTCTGTTCCACCTGTTTTAGATCCTAATTTCTGTGAGACAGATCGTTACAACCTGTCCTGGCGTTGATCTACTGTTCCGCCTGTTTTAGATCCTAATTTCTGAGAGACAGATCGTTACAACCTGTCCTGGCGTCGATCTACTGTTCCACCTGTTTTAGATCCTAATTTCTGTGAGACAGATCCTTACAACCTGTCCTGACTTTGATCTACTGTTCCACCTGTTTTAGATCCTAATTTCTGTGAGACGGATCCTAACAACCTGTCCTGGCTTTGATCTACTGTTCCACCTGTTTTAGATCCTAATTTCTGCGAGACAGATCGTTACAACCTGTCCTGGCTTTGATCTACTGTTCCACCCGTTTCAGATCACTTAACAGTTCACTTCATTAGGCAGGAAAATGTCATGAAAAACAATTGATTACAGCAAGACACATGATATGAAATGTGCTGTAAAAACAGTAAGCACTGTTGATAAATAAATGATAACAGAGTAAAACTCACATTATCGATGTTTTTATCATAGAATTTTGTCTGATGTGCTAATGTTGTACTATGGTGAACAACCATGTCGGCATTCAAAGTTGTAGAATGTACCGTACTGTTATAGTGATTCCATCTACTTCCTACCATATGAAAAATACAGTACTGTTGAAACTATAATAATGTTTGCTAACAATCTTCCTCCTATATAGTTAAACAGCATGGTTTTCAACACGAAAATTCTGCCATTGGAAGAAGAACGTGTGTTAGAATCACAGTTGATATGTGAATGCTTATATCTAGCTAGGCTGCTCTATCCATACAGGTTGATGTGCCTATATATCCATTATTTCAGAGTTCTACGTTAAGCATTCATCAACTACCAAATCAACTTTACCAAGCTCCAAGCTTTCAAAGAGATTAGAGATGTTTAAGACATGAATGCCCCTAATCCAATGCAAGTTAGTGTCATTGTTTGATACATTTCTATAAATAGTAACAGTGACTTTGGCCTTGACCTTGGTACCCTGACATGAACGCATTTGAGGTATTCTCATACTTTGCATTTGTATGCAGTTTATCATCATTGAACCAGAAATATTTCAGAATGACATGAAAGTCACCCATCATTCTTTATGATCATTTTCCGATAAATCATTGACAGCGGATATATTTCCACCTGTCAATCAAAATGGTAAACAATTACCAGGTGTAAATACATACATGCTGTTCAGGTAGCCATGCCAACACATGGAGTTAATAGGAAAGCATGTCGCAAATATAACGTTAGCGTTGACCGACACCTTGAATACGGGGAGATCTGCGCGCTGACATGGTCAACTGGCTTGGGCAGAACAGGTAATTGGAATATAACGATGTTGTTTTCACAACAATAAGTTTCAGAAAAGATTCAATTTCATATACGGATAAATCTTCTACTATTTTTTGTTTTTCTGATCGTCTGCAAATCCGACTGAATCGGTCATCGATATCGGCAGAATGTGTACGCTTAAAGGCAGTCACTCCGACAAGGACTGCCAACAGCCGAATTCGCAAGACATGAAGAACACCAAACAATTGTGATATCAGCAATTCACCTTCGAAAAGAAAAGATCGGATGGTTTGGCTGTTTTGAACCTGTTGATATTTAATTTTCAAACTCAAACTTTTATCATTATCGGTTCAATTCGCATGGATGCCAATTCCTGCCGGTTAATAGTATCACGCGATTTCGACTCTTTGCCTGTTTTGACACATTCCTACGGACAAGATTGAAGAGTTCAGCAAGATTTTACCAAAGAACGACATTTTAACCACAAAGTGATAAATGAGATGCAATTCTTCGTTATGTTTCCCGATACGTGGTATTTATCAATTCACAACGTAATGTCCTGAAAAGTTGAGCCTACTTTACTCGAGTTTATTTATCCGATTCTATAGTATTATATGACTTAAACTTGCAACTTTTCGTAATCGTGAAATTGGCAATGCAATCAGGGATTATTCAACGAAATTTAGCAGTTTTATTACGAGAAATGGTCGCGACCATGGACTGGTTTGGATTGTTCTTGAGTATCGTGTACACCCCTTTCTTGACACTTCATTTTCCCCTTAAAAAAGTGTGCACTATAAGCAAATATTAACAGTAGTTGTTGGTCAGACATGAAATATCTAAATCAGTCAATGGCAATTTATAATATAACAGTTTACCCCTTGGGGAACCTCAAAGGTGCCTGATTCATACTCGGAACATCTTTGGGTTATATATAATTCCCGTGGGAAATTGAGAACGCCTTTAGGTTTTATGCTATTCCTGTTTAAAAAGGAAATTGATATCTGAGTTATCCAAGAGCTTGTAATTAGCACCTGGTATATTCCGACAGAAGCAAGACACTCAACAGCCCTCTTAACAGAGGTCAAAATCTGGGACTGAAACCAAAATTAATAGTCCCCACTGGGGTGACTAAAAATGAAGTTTGCTTATGATATAATTTAATTGGTTAACAAATTTCTATAAATAGTGTATGGTGACCTTGATTTCCAAATTCTAAAATACAAACTCTATTAAGGTATTCTCATCCTTGACTTTTGTATAAAATTGATCCAAATCTAATTAGCCTTTTTATAGAGAGAGATACCAGTGAATCATGATCAGACACACATGGGACGTAACATTATATATTCCCCCTTCCCCCATACAATTGTCCGAGCGTTTTATGGAAACCTTGTCTTTTACTTTGTCCATTAAAATTAATTACGTGTCATATGAACTTAACCCAATCATGAAAATGCGAAGTCAATTGTCAATATTTTTTAAGCATTATCATGACACATTCTACTCAAACCATACACATTAATGCCTTTATTCAAATTATTTTCTTTTCATTACTGATACACTATTAATAGAATGAACATAGTAAGCTTCCAACACCTTTCATACTAGATAACTAAAGATTTGAAGGTTCCAGGCTGTTGTTTAGTTATTTTGACTAAATCGGGCTCATTAAAAAAAATCCATTTGTCTAAGTCCGTCTTTGCATATTGCAGAGTTATCTGCTCTTGTGAGCAGGTACTGATTGTTACGTCATTTGTTTGTGAGAGTAACGTCATCTATTTTTGACAAAACGACATAATTTTCTCACACAAACAAACCAATGACGTAACAATCAATACCTGCTCACAAGAGAAGATAACTCTGCAATAAGCAAAGACGGAATAACCTTTCCATGTTTCCTGTCTTACAATTTACAGGCGGGTTTAATAGCTCAGGCAATGAAAGCATGTGTCACACCAACACATTGAAACAGCATACACTTATGGCGTTATGGTCAAATCTTGAAGCATCAGAAATCCAGAAAAAAGTTACGTTAATTGAATTGAATGCAATTAATTGCAGCAGAACTGCATTGCAGTGAACCATGATGCTGTAATACATTTACTATTTTCGTTAACAATTTTAAGGTTTCAGAACCAGTGAAAAAGACAAAATTGAAGCCAAACTGGGAGTTATTTAAGTAAAGTAACTCCATTATTACACTATTACTTTACAAATCCTGTTTTACAATCCCATTTAATGTTAAACATTTAGTAAAGCAGCAATATAATATGACAATCTAATGACAGACCTGCAATAAGATTCTTGTCACACTGTACATAAAAGCCTCTTGAGCAGATGTTAGAATGAAATCAAAGTTTAATCAATACAGATCCAGCATCTGTTTTGCCTACTGAGTGGGGCTAGGTTACAGACATGCCATCAGACCCACCAGTGCAAAAGGCTTATTAGGAAAACACATGGTGCGTGTGCTAAACAGATTTACTACAGGGCCTGCCTCAGTGATCTTGTTCTCAATGAAATTGGTGTCTTGAAGATAACACTGCTAAGCATGACACTTCTAGTTACTGGTAGACAGATCTTACCAGCACTTTCACCTGCTTAGACATCACACAACAGTGACCTGTCAACAAGTGAAATGTTTGAACAACCATACTACAAAATTACAAGGTCTTATCAGAGGCCTTTGGCAAAT